ACAAGGCCAGCATGGCCTTGTTGTCTACGTACAGAACTGGAGGAGAACGAGGCGGCTCTCCCAGGTCAGTCAGCAGGTAGGTGAGCCAGCGTAACTCCTATGCAGCCATGGCCCCTGCGTAGATCTCAGCCTCACAACTGGAGCTGAGAACAGAAGACGAGCGGGTAGACCGCCACGAAACAGAACCGGAACCAAGGCTGAAGGTGTAACCCTGTGACGACCGCTGAGTAGCCAGGTCGTCAACCCAAGACGCGTTTGCGTGACCACTGAGGACCACTGGACTCCGTCCTCCAAGCACGAGCCCCATGCCCGACGTACTGCACAGGTAGCGCAACACCCTCTTCGCGGCAGCCATGTGCTCTGGTCGGTGTCTCCCAGGAGCAACATAGCGTGCCAAGATGCTAAGAGGGTATGTCAGGTCAGGTCGAGTGCAGGTCATCAGGTACATGAGGCAGCCAACAAGCTCGGGGTATGGGCCACTCGGCTCTACGGACTCATCCGAAGGCAGAGCTGAGAGCGAGTGGCGAGTAGACAGAGGAGTGGCCTGAGGCGAGGAGTACGTGAAGTCGAAGCGCTGAAGGACCTGCTGCACCATGTGTGACTGAGTCAGGGTAATGGTGCGCCGTGCTCTGTCCCGGGTGATCTGCAAGCCAAGATAGCTGCGCAGTTCACCCAGGTCTGTGCAGGTGTGTCTCTTCTGCAGCTCGGACTTCACGTGGGCGAGCCCAGCAGTGTCAGCTGTAGCAAACACCAAGTCGTCGACGTACACGAGGATGTAGAACGGCGGCAGCAAGGTGTCGGTGCGAAGAAACAGCGACGGGTCAGCAGTAGAAGGAGCAAACCCAAGAGCCGCAAGCGTAGTCCTCAGTGTGTCGTGCCACTCACGGGGCGCCTGGCGGAGACCGTAGACTGGCCGCCGGAGACTCCACTGGGTACCAGGAGGAAACGACCCAGTGAAGCCAGGTGGGCGGCGCAGCCAGATCTCCTCGTGCAGGCTACCCTATAGGAAAGCAGTGCTGAAGTCAAGGGAGTGAAGCTCGTAGTCACGCTGAGCAGCGACGTGCAGTAGAACCCGAAGAGTGGTCATCTTCGGGGTCGGGGAAAAGGTCTGAAAGTAGTCAACTCCCTGCCGCTGACTGAAGCCTCAAGCCACGTAACGCGCCTTGAAGACAGGCGGAGAACCCGGCGGCCGCTTCACCCTGAAAATCCACATGCCACTGACGATGTTCGCCCCAGGTGGGGGAACCTCGTCGACATAGGTGCCTGTGGACTTCCAGGAAGCCATCTCTGCGTCCATGGCTGCCTGTCACTGAGAGGAGTAGGGACCCTCTATCGCCTCTGCGTAAGAGCGCGGGGTCGGGATGTCTGGTGCATCCGGGTCTCCCTCAGGGGCAAGCAGCATGGACACGAGATGAGGTAAAGCAGCAGAAAAACACTGGAACTCCTCCTGCGTGTCCTCAAGGACATCCGTGCTAAGAGCACACTCACCCCCGACGGACGGAGGACAGACAGACGCAGACTCAGAAACAAGACTAGTGGCGTAGTCTAGACGACAGTGAGCAGCTAAGTCGACAAGCTCGGCAACTAAGGCAGACGCAGCAGCGGACTCAAAGGAAGGGTCAGTGACAGCAGTGGCTAGGAAACGCGTGACAGTAGGAATGGCAGCACGAAGGGAGTCAGACTCCGGGTCAGCAAGAGCAGGAAGAGAGGACTCTGGAGGAGATGGCAAAGGGACACGCTGCGGTGCAGTGGAAGGACGCAGTGCCATCTGATGCGTGCCCGGGACCGCAGGAGGACGCTGACGTGGAACACGACGACTAGTGCGAGCAGTACGAACAGGTGACGCAGGACGCGACTCAGGCTCACGACGCTCAGCAAGACCTCCAGTAGGACCAGCGTAGGGAGAAGGAGCAGGGAGAGGGGAGGCCAGCTGTAACTGTGACTCGGACTGGACAGGCGGTGGACACTCTAAGGAAGGAGCAGGACCAGAAGAAGGCGGAAGACCAAGAACCTGCTCAAGGAGCGGAACGAAGTACGGCCGCGGCCGTGTAGCACCTCCAGAACCAGCAGGGACAACACCAGCACCCCCAGCGTCAGCTCCAACTCCAGCAGCACCACCAGCACCAGTAGTAACTCTAGCAGCTCCAGGAGCGCCAACTCCAGCACCCACAGGAGCACCGGCTCCAGTAGCACCTCCAGCTCTAGTACCTCCAGTAGCTCCAGCTCCAGTAGGACCACCGGCAGACGCAGCAGCTCCGGCTCCAGTACCTCCAGTAGCACCTATTCCAGCAGCACCGCCAGCTGCAGCTCCACCAGTAGCTCCAGCACCAGTAGCACCACCAGGCCCAGCAGCTCCTGTACCTCCAGTACGAGCACCTCCGGGACCCGTGGCTCCAGCACCCCCAGCAGAAGCAGAACCTCCAGCACCGACAGCACCTCCAGCTCCAGCAGCACGGCTCCAGCGCCGAGCAAACCACTCGCGCAGCTCCTGTGGAGAGGGTAGCTCCCGCCGGGACAAAGCACTCGAAGGACCTCCAGGTCCAGCACCGGCAGGTACCGCACCCCCACTCTCAGCAACCCCTGGCTCAGCAGCCCTAGACCCAGCACCCCCAGGCTCCGCACGCTCAGGCTCAGCACCCCCAGACCCAGCACCCCCAGGCACCGCACTCTCAGGCTCAGTACCCCCAGGCTCAGCACCTCCAGGCTCCGCACGCTCAGGCTCAGCACCCCCAGAAGCACTAGAGTCAACAGCTACCTCGACAGGCTCGACTGCATCTACCTGGGACACACCTGAGGGGGCAGGACCCTGAGGGGGGAGGGGGTCTACCGGGGGGGGACCGGGCGTGAGGAAGAGCGGCGGGGGGGGGAGGGGGGCAGCGCGGTAGGGGAAGAGACGGTAGTACGGAACCGACTCGTCAAACGTGACGTCCTGGGAGGACAGAACACGACGCGAGGTGGGGTGGTAAAACTGCCAACCAGGCGCGTCAGGGGGAAAGCCGAGGAAGACGCAAGGAACAGCACGGGAGGACAGCTTGTCCGCGGACAAGTCTCGGACGAAAGCTCGAGATCCCCAGACACGGAACGCAGACGCATCACCAACCTTCCCCGTCCACCGCAGAGTAGGGGAGGTCTCCGGCAGGGAGACCCGGGGCTGAAGGTTGATCTGATGCGCCGCGTACTGAACCGCGAACGGCCACAGAAAATGGGGAGCAGCTGCATGGATCATGGACGTACGAGCGACATCCATGAGCATGCCAATGCGGCGCTCAGCAATCCCATTTTGCTGTGGAGAGGCCGGAAGCGTGAACGTCTGGCGGATGCCCTCCGCACGACAGAAGGCTCGCAGAAGGTCGGAGGAAAACTCTCCACCTCTGTCGGAGTGCAGACGCAGAACAGGAAAGTCCGAGCCGAAACGCTCTCTGGGCTGGAGACGAGCAACGCGGATCCAGTCGATCAACACCTCAGTGACCTCATCCTTGCGGCGCAAGGGGAAGACTGTGGTGTAACGCGAGTAGTCGTCAACGACCAGCAGGAAGTAACGCTCGTGACTCTGTCCACGGACGCGGGCTGGGCCCCACACGTCCATGTGAAGAGTCTGCAGGGGAGCCTCTATCGAAGGGAACTCGGAGTAGTGAGGAGCGGCGCGCTGCCGGCCCTCGACACAAGGAACACAGGTAGGGGCAGGCCCCGGAGGAAGGGGAGGGAGGGACCGGGGGAGACCAGAGACAAGGGTACGGGAGGCCATACCTCGAAGACGAGGCAGGGAGGGGTGACCAAGGCGGTGGTGCCAAAGGAGGGTCTGGTGGGACAGGAGGCGACACGAGCAGGGGGCAGACTCAGGACCTGACCGAGACGCTGCAGCAAACACCTGACTCGACGCAGCTACCTGACCAGACGCAGCAACCGGTGGAGACTCTGTGGTCAGTGTGTACAGGCTCGACCCCAGTCGACGGGTAAACGTGGCCAAGTGGCGGCCCGTCTGAGCACACGTGCAGTGGGTCACTCGCTGACTCGCAGGAGTGAACTGGTCAACCCCGCCATCCTGAAGGTCAGCACCACTCACCAAGTTCGTAGAGAACGAGGGGAGGTAGAGACCGGACAGGGAGCCTGACGGGGCCGCCGGACACAGGAGGACAGTGGAGTAGTGGGCAAGGACAGGACCCCCAGAGGGGTCTGCCAGGGAGACAGGGTAAGGGCAGGGTAAGGGCAGGGTAAGGGCAGGGTCGGGGCAGGGCCGGGGCAGGGCCGGGGTAGGGCCGGAGCAGGGCCGGGACAGGGCCGGGGCGAGGCCGCGACAGGTCCGGGACAGAGCCGCGACAGGGTCAGGGCAGGGTCGGGGCAGGGCCGGGGCAGGTCCGGGACAGGGCCGTGACGGGGCCGGGGCGGGGCCGGGGCAGGGCCGGGGCCGGGCCGCGACAAGCGACGGGGGAGGGCCAGGGCGGGGCCGCGACGGGGTCGCAATGGGCGACGGGGCAGGGCCGGGGCAGCGCCGCGATAGGGCCGCGACTGGGCGGCTTCGGGCGACGGGGCAGGGCCGGGGCGGGGTCGCAACGGGGCCTCAAAGGGGGCCGCTAACAGGCCGCAAAGGGGCCGCGTAGGGCAGAAAAGGCCACTAAGGGGCCGCAAAGGGGGCCGCGTAGGGCAGAGCGCAAAGCGCGCTTCGGGCAGGTAGGTAAAAAAAAACTTTTAACGGTGGGCCCTTAGGAAGGAACGGTCCCAGTAGGGAACCCGCTCTATACCATGTGAAGAAACAGGAATGAATGATTGGCTAGGAAATGAGTTGGGTACAAATATGAAACCCTAGGAAACTGTACCCCATAGTGTCTACCCCACTACAGCCTAGATAGGCTATGTGATTAATGTTTGACAGGAATTGCAGCTGATTACAGTCTTGGCTGATAGTGTTAAATAAAAAAGGCTGATCTAACGCTGAATCAGTGTAAAAAGGCTGATATCTAGGGCCCTGGAACCAAGCCTCCAAGTTAGCACTGTAGGGTCCCTTATCCCAGCACACACCCTTCACTGTCCACCTCCCACTGGCCGTTCTGCACCACACCACACCACACCCCACCACACCCCACCATACCCCACAACACTGCGCCCAACTCCTCTGCCTAGCTCACTTGCCCTTGGCCTGGCTCTCTCCCTCCTGAGCAATGGAACCATGCCTTGCCCCGCCACAGCCTCGCCAGCAGCACCTGCGTCCCACCCGACCCTCCCATCTTGGCGGCGGCAGCAATCCTGCCATGCCACTCTTACGTGCCCTTGGCCCGGCCCTCAGCTCCTTGGACCGGCGCCCCGCCCCCCCCCCAGCCTTGCCAGCAGCGCCCCTCACCCCAGCGGATCCTCGCATCATGGCGGCAGGCAGCACCGTCCACCCAGTGCCTTGCCACTGCCCATCACTCCCCCAGCACCCTTCCCCGCAGCCCCTCTGCCCCACTCACTTGTGACTCTCAACCCCCTTAGAACTGTGCCCTGCCCCGCCCACAGCCTTGGCAGCAGAACCCCTTATTCCAGCAGACCCTCGCATCTTGGCGGCGGCCGCTATCCTGGCGTGCCACTTGGCTGTATCCACCTCCCACCGCTCGTTGCGCCACACCAGGGGGGGCAGCCCGCCCTCCCCTGACTGGTAGTCGTACGTCACTGCATGTGCTGCCTCGGCACTTGTGTCCCGGGGACCGGCTGAGAGGATTGCAGAGTGGTAGAGGGGGAAGTAACGAACGGGGAAGAGGAAGGGAAAGGGGGGGAATGAGGAGGGTATGGGCAGCCCTCCCTCCCCTGACTGGTAGTTGTATGTCACTGTGTGCGCTGCCTCACCTTTTGTCTCTCACGGGCCGGCTGAGTGAAGGGGGAGAGGGGAAGATGGAAGGGAATGAGAGCACCGAAGGCACCAGGCCCGCCCTCCCATGACTGGTAGTCATACGTCACCGCATGTGCCGCCTCAGGACTTGTGTCCCGTGGGCCGGCTGAGGGAAGGGGGAGAGGGGAGATGGAAGGGAATGAGAGCACCAAAGGCCGTAGGCCTGACCTCCCCTGATTCGCACGTCACTGCATGCACCGCCTTGGCACTCGTGTCCCGCGGAGCGGCTGAGTGATGGAAAGGGAAAGAGAGTGCGGGAGAGACGGGGGCGTAAGTGGAAGGAGGGAATGATTAAGAGACCGCAACACGGAGGCAGGGAGGCAGGGAGGCAGGGAGGCAGGGAGGCAGGGAGCAGAGGGTTGGTGCAAGGCTTCAAGAGAGGCAGTGAGCAGCCGAGTAGATGCAGCAGCCGTGGTGGAGGGAGAGGAGAGAAGTGCGAGTCACCTTGGTAGGGAGCAGTGCAGAGTGACTAGCGCTGGGGGCATGAGCGGTAGCGGGTGGGTGAGCGCGTGTGGGACCACAAGAGGTACTGGGTGGGTGGGGGTAAAAGAGAGTGGGTCACCTTCGGTGGGGAGCGGCGTGCGGCGGTTCTTGAGGATTTCAGGCCGCGGGATGACGGCCCCAGAGGCACTCCTGCCCGCCGCCACCCTCACCTTGGTGCCCTCCTCCGTGTAGCGGATCGCCACCCGGCATGGCGCACTAGTGGGGGGAAGACATGGGGGGTTGAGAGAGGGTAGTGGGAGGGAAGAGTAGGGGAAGTGAGACTGGAAGAAGAACGGAACGAGAGGGACTCAGAGATCTTGGCTGGGCATGGCACTTGCGCCCACCGCAACCCTCACCTTGGCTCCCTCCTCCGTGTATCAGAACGCCACCCAGCATGGTGCACTGCGGTGGGATGGGGGATGAGAGAGGTGAGAGAGGGTGGGGAGAGAGAGAGGAGATGAACAAGAAACGGCAAGACAGTTGGTGAGGATTCTCAAGAACACCCAGCTTGACGCCACCATCACCTTGGCACCATCCTCTGTTTATTGGAACGCCACCCGGCATGGCGCACTAGCGTTAACATGGGGAATGGGAGGTGGTAGTGAGAGGAAAGAGAAGGGAAAGAGAGTGGGGATGAATTCGAGGCTGGGAGGCTGTGGCACTTGGGCCTGCCGCCACCCTCACCTGGCGCTGTGCTCCACCAACACACTGCAGTGGGACGGGAGAGAAGTGAACAGGGAAGCGAGAAAGGAGATGAAACAAAGGATTGTGGAATATGAAGGAGGGTGAAGGAACGGAAGATGTATTGTACTGCCTCCATCATGCCATGCCATGCCATGCCCTATGTTGGAATGGACACTCGTGCATCGGCGCGTGTCAAATATCTACAAATATGTATATATGAAAACACATGATATGCGTGGAGAATGCATAATGTGTGTTAATCGGGCAGCCCCCCCAAAAAACTATACAAACCCCTTCCCCGATATTGCGATCTGCGAATTTAAACCCCTCCCAATCTCCCAACTCCCAATGAACACCACCTCACACCACCTTCCAAACCAGCCCTTCCCTCCCATCTCGATCATCTCTCACCAAGAAGCAGCGCGTCGGTGTGAGTACAATGGCAAGGTGGGGCCTTTTCAAACTCCTTTGTCACACGCCCCTCTCAGTCTATGTTTCTTTCTTTAACTCATGTAATAACTTATAGGAGCAATGCCAACCCCTAAAGTCACACCCACGTCCACTGCCCATAAGACATTTGGACGTACCAGAGGTTCATAAATCACTGTATTACGTAAATACGAAAGTGTAATGTACAGTTTCGTACTATACAATACACGAATATTCCAACAAAGGCCAGGCCCCGCCATGCCATATCATGCCATTCGTCCTTAGGCCGGTGGCCACACATACCCGGTCTCGGGGTCGAGCAGAGAGAGGTTGGAGAGGTGGATGGGCGCTTCCACTGTGATCACTCCCCCGGGCGAGTCTGCTGACTTCTTCACGTGCTTCTTCGCCTGTTGCGCAATGCAGGTTCAGGCATGGGATGGCAAGGTCGAACAGGGAAGCGGGACAACACATTGGGGAGAGAGGGTGGTGAGCGTTGGAAGCAGTGTTGAGTGTGCTGCTGGGTGAATGTGTGCCTCTGCCTCCACTGGAATCACTCCGCCTGGTGGACCCCCTCACTTCTTCCAGTGCTCTCCGCCTCGTGAGCGGACCAGAGAGGGGGAGTTGGGCAGCGAGATTTGTGCTTCTTCGCCTGCCGGGTGGGGGAAGGAGGAGGAGAAAAGAGTGAGGTGAGCGGCAGGCAGATGAAGTTAGTGCTTATTCTGTCCACAGACTGGCCGATGTAGGAAACACCCCTCAAGGGAATCAAGCGGGAGGCGCACGAGGCCACATACAGGGAGGGGGGCGGGTAAGGGGAGAGGGGGGGAGGAGGGTTTGGAACGATGAAATACACTGTGAGGGAACGTGTGTGGTGAAGCAGTGAGCGCGATAGGAGGTGCATGGGTGCCTCATCATGCCCTGGGCGGTTGTTGGGGATATGGAGACAAGACGGGTGGGGAAAGAAAAGAAGAGAGAAAGGGGAGAGACATGTGCGGAGGGGCGGGAAAAGGGGGAAAGGAGCAGGCGGGAAGCAGGGGTGGGGGTGTGGGTGGGTGGTGAGTGAGACGTGTGCTTGGAAGGATGGGATGGGGGTGTGGGCTGAATGCCATGTTTTCTCTCACATGCTTCTCCGAGGTCGTCCCAACGAGCAGCCTGGCCTGGCGTGGAACACCCATCCCACTCAACCTTCTCCCTCGCCCCCTTCTGTTTCCCACCCATGCAGCCAACACCACTCCAGACCACTCCAGACCAGGACTACAGCGCCAGTGTGCAGGGAATGTGTGCCCCACCCCACGCTCCTCCACTGCACTCACTCTTCCACTCCGGCTGCCACATTGCGGTCCCACTACCTGCTTTTCCCCATTCCTGCCTACTTCCTCCCATTTGTCCCCATTCCCCCCTGCCTGCTATAACTCGCGCCACCCACTCCGTTCCCCCCACCACCCCCACCGAACCCCTCGGCACGCCAAATCTCCCCTCACCCCCCCCCCCCCCCCCCCCCCCCTCCAAAAAAGCTACTCACACGTGTCTCCCTGCCACACCCACTCACGAGGTCGAGCCCCTCCAAGGCTCAACCACCACCCCATTGCGCTCCTCATCGCCGCCTGCTATAACCCCCTCTATCCCCTCCTCCCCCCACCTCCCGCTCCTCCCCCATCACTCACCCCCTCACCAGGTTCACCCCGTGCGCTCTTACCCACCCGCCATAACCCACTTCATTCCATCCCCTCCTGCTCCTCCTCCCCCCCACCCCCATCACCCCATCACGCATCACCCCACGCGTCTCACCAGGTTGAGCCCCTCCTCCACCACGACAAGGTGAGGTTTTCCTCCTTCAACACGGCCCGTGCGCCCTCTCACCCCGCCCGCTACAACCCAACCCACTCCATTCCATCCCCTCCTCCTCCCCCCCTCCCCCCCCCCTATCGCACCAGGTTGAGCCCCTCCACCACGACGCGGTTCTTCTCCTTGATCACGGCCGTCACCGTGCCCGTCTGCCCGCGGTCCTTGCCTGCCATCACCATCACCTGGGGGGGCAGAGAGAGAGGGGGAGCAAGGAGAAGGGCGCAGCATTGTGGCAGGCAGGCATGGCAGGCAGGCATGGCAGGCAGGCATGGCGGCGGCCCAGCAGCATTGAGTGTGGGCGAAACAATTGAAGCGGAGGGGGTGACGCCGCGCATCCCCTCCGCGCCGCTCACCTTGTCGCCGCGCAGGATCTTCCACGCGCGGATCGCCGTTTGCGCCGGCTTCCACCCCATCGCGACGCGTCGCGTCGTCTCGCCTCGCGTCGCCTCGCGTGCTCAATTTCTCTCTCGACAAGCCGAGAAAGTTGGCGCGACGGCGACGCGGGGGCAAACCCTAACCCGGACGAGCGAGTCCACTCTGGAACCGCAACGGCAGCAACGAATCGCGGATGAGCCGGCGGCACCGGCGATGAGAGATGAGAGAGATCGATCCGTAAGGCAGAAGAATCAGGTGGAGCGTAGTTGCGACGATGGAGTCGAGGTAACGACGAGCGGAACGTGAGAAGCGGTGCGATAGAGCGCACGAGTGGATGGCGGGCGGAGGAGGATGGCGGATGGAACTGGGATTCGAGTGGTCGCTGCGCTCGCTGGCGAGGAGGATGCGGCGGTGCGATCAGCCTTGCCCCCCAGAAGTCCGCTTTTCTTCAGAGTTGGCGTGGAAGGCACAAGCAGAACCACACGAGGAATTCTCTGATGCGAGTTCCCGTGTTAGAGTAGGGCGTAGTTACATGTTGACACCAATCCTGTGCGACGCGATCTGGGCTCACAGGGCGTTTTTCAGATCACGTTCCCACGCGACAAGCATTCTCAGAGCATTTTTGCACTTTTCGAAAACACGATGCGACGAACAGGTGTATTTGGAGTCGCCACAGGACAGGTGTACTTGGAGTCGTTTCATTTCAAGACTCACGAGCAGGGCGCGATGGTGCTGGGTGTCGATCCTGCTAGCGAGTGGATCCAAGTGCGACGCTTGCACTTTGATTGCCCGTCCGATTCCTTTCCGTCGCACGTGCGACTCGCCGTGATACGCGATTTCGGCGGTAGCACGCGACTGGGCATTGACGCCGAGCGACGTGGAGCGACAGAACAGGTCGCTCATGGCGTTTCCAAGTCCACGGCTCACACGCGCCGCCTTCCGCTCACTAGCGCCCGATGAGCGGCATTCACGAATGTCTCATTCTGCGCTCGAGGCGTTGCAAAACGCATCTGCTGCTCGCTTGCCGCCTGCCGCTCACTAATCTGACGAGCCTTCTCGCGTGTTGTAGCAGTGTGCGTGCGAATCCCCAAACATGGCGCGCTAAGTGACCTCCAAGCGTGTTCAGTCACTTCAAACGGTTCTGTCGTCGCGTCTCTGTCGCACGCACCGCAATCGAGCTCCGCGCCACTCCAACAAGCAGCCCCTTCCCTCCTCGCCCCAGCGGCTCCTATTCTCAATGCCTTTCCTTACCGCTCTCCCCCATTGACTGTGAACCCACCCAGTTGCACCGTGCACCCATAATCTCCCCTCCACCCTCCCCTCTATTGACCTGCCTGCCTCTTCCGTTGTCCAACCTTCACCGCCTCGCCTCGCCTCTCCTCTCCTCTCCTCTCCTCTCCTCTCCTCGCCTCTCCTCTCCTCTCCTCTCCTCTCCTCTCCTCTCCTCCAACGTCTCTCATTTTCCCCTCCTTCCCCTCACCTCCTGATCCTTCCCCCCGTCGTTCCACTCGTCCTGTGCACCGCAGAGGGTGGAGCAGGAGTCGCCCATGGAACTCATCAATGCCGTGCCGCCCATCACCGTGACTGCATTACTGTGCACCCATGCGCCTCATTCGCCTCTTGCCTCGCTCCCCATGCCTCCCTGTGTGTGTGCCATCAGAGGGTGGAGCAGGAGTCGCCCATGGAGCTCATCAACGCCGTGCCGCCCATCCTCGTGCACTCTCGCGTCGTTGCCTGCCGGGGAGGTGCGTGGAGGGGGGGAGAGACGAGGTGGGTGGGAAGGAAGAGAGGAGGTGGGAGGGGGGGAAGGGAGGAGCAACGGGAAACGAGAGGTCGGGGTTGGACTGGCGAGGTGAGGGAGAGAGGGAAGGTTTTGTCTTCGCAGTGGGGGAAGAGAGAGGGGGCACATGATGGGCTGATGCCCTGCACTGCATGTCGCCCTGCACCACATGCCGTACCCATGCATGTGGGAATTCATGCAAAGCGGCCTGCGTTCACCCAAGCCATCCTCCCCCCTCTTCCCCCCTCCCCACTTCACTCCAACCCAGGCCCCATCCCTGGGCTGGACCTTTCAGTGCAGTGAATCAACATGGATGCTTCTGAGCTGTCCCTCTGCTCATCAACAAGCCCCCTCCTCCCCTTCTCCCCCTCCTCCTATACCCCTTCTCCTCCCTCCTCTGCTTTACCCCCCGCTAAGCCCTTCCCCCCTCTGTCCACGACAGGCTCCAACCCCAGCACTGGGCCATCCAGTGGAGTACACCAACGTGGACACGCCTCAGCCCGTGCCCTGCTCATCAACATGCCCCCCCCTTCTCCCAGTTTCTCTCCCCCCCAGGCCCCAACCCAGCGCTGGGCCATCCAGTGGAGTAAATCAACGTGGACGCCCCTCAGCCCTCGCCCTGCTCATCAACATGCCCCCACCTCCCCTTCACCCCTTCCCTCCCCCACCTCTTCTTTTACCAGGTCCCAACCCCGCGCTGGGCCATCCAGTGGAGTATATCAACGTGGACGCGCCTCAGCCTGCTGTCTGCAAGTACTGCGGCCTGCGCTTCCTGCAAGAGCACCACCACTGACCGCTCAAGAGTTGAAAACGAGGGGTGAAGAGGGGAGGATGAAGTATACGAGTACAACAACTGAGGGGGTAGTGGGGGTACACGAGTAATGGGGGTGGGGGTACACGAGTTGGTATCTCTGAGTTGTGCCGCAACTGGGGTGATGGAAGCTGTATGAGCAATGGATGGAGTATCAGCACTGGGCAGTAGACAGATTGGTACTCGGTGCGTGAGCAGCCAGCTCTAGGTTTCAGGCTGGTATTATTCATGTGTGCATATGACTGTCATGGCATTGCAGTCTAGTTGTATCATCCTGCAACCTTTTTCACAAGGGTCAGTGCCTCAGTGTCAGAAGTGGCAAAGACGAGGTCGTCGACGTAGACGAGGACGTAGAACGGCGGCAGTGACATGTCGGTGCGTAGAAACAGCGACGAGTCAGCAGTAGGAGTAAACCCAAGAGCAGCAAGTGTAGTCCTCAGTATGTCGTGCCACTCGCGAGGCGCCTAGCGGAGACCATAGACTGAGGCTCCACTGGGTACCTGCAGGAAACGACCCAGTGAAGCCAGGTGGGTGGCGCAGCCAGATCTCCTCGTGCAGACTGCCCTACAAGAAAGCTGTACTGAAGTCCAGAGGGTGTAACTCGTAGTCGCGCTGAGCAGCGACGTGCAGCAACACCCGAACAGTAGTCATCTCCGGGGTAGGGGAGAAGGTCTGGAAGTAGTCGACCCCCTGTCGCTGACTGAAGCCTCTAGCAACGTAACGTGCCTAGAATGCAGGCAGAGAACCCGGCGGCCGCTTCATCCTGAAAATCCACATGCCATCGACTACGTTTGCCCGAGACGGGGGAACTGTGTCGACGTAGGTGCCTGTGGACTTCCAGGATGCCATCTCGGCATCCATAGCTACCTGCCACTGAGAGGAGTAAGGACCCGTAATCGCCTCTGCGTAAGAGCGCGGGGTCGGGATGATTGGAGCATCCGTGTCTCCCTCAGGGGCAAGCAGCAAGGAAGCGAAGCAAGGTACAGCAGCTGCAAGACACTCAAAGTCCTCTTGCCTGTCCTTAAGGACGTCCGTGCCAAGAGCACACTCACCCCCGACGGACGGAGGACTGGCAGACTCAGACTCAGCAACTAGAGCAGTGGCGTAGTCGAGACAGCAGGCTGCAGCAAAGTCAAGCAGCTCAGTAACTAGAGCAGACGCAGCAGCAGACCCAAAGGAAGGGTCAGTGACAGTAGTGGCGAGGAGACGAGAGACAGTGGGACTGGGTCAGTACCAGGGAGAGGGTCTACTTGAGACACACCCGACGGAGCAGGACCCTGGGGCAGGAGGGGGTCTATCGGAGGTGGACCGGGAGCAAGAAAGAGCGGCGGGGGCGGGGGAGGGGCAGAGCGGTAGGGGAAGAGACGGTAGAAGGGAACCGACTCGTCGAACGTGACATCCTGTGATGGGAGGACACGGCACGAGGTGGGGTGGTAAAACTGTTAGAGACTAAGGACGGAGTCTATGAAGATTAGGGGCTGAAATATCTCAAAATCGTCAACTACAATTCTGGACAGAAAAGTCGTCGTCACAAGAAACGTCGTCAACGAAAGGTCCCTTGTTTGAATTCTTTCAAACTCGAGTATGTTGTAGCCCTTGATCGTGGCTATCTTTCCCAATTTTAATAGTATCAAAATATGGAGTATAACTCGAGTTATGAACTTCGGCGCACTAGGGGGTATGCTGCCATAGAAAACGTAACTCAATCACAATTATCTCACAAGTTCACACAAGAAAGTTAGAGTAGCAATAGAACCAGGTAGGAGGGGATGAGAAGGACGAGAGGGAAGGTCCCAAGGGAGTCCCCAACCAAGGACACCCCATACCACACAATTCCCCTCTCTATAGGCACCCCAACTTTGACATTTGTCACTTTCCCAACTCATGCCATCCACCTCACCCAACTTGACCACACTTGCCAACCTGGTTTGGCACCTCCCAACCACTTGGCAGCATCTACAGTGATGTTGACGAATTTCCCAACCCCCGAGAGTCTGTACTCCTTATGGAGTCAACACCACAACTTCCCATAGTCACCACAACCAAATATCAAAAGCATACGAACTTCCAACGTTCGTAACTTTCTTGTTCGTGCTCCGATTGAAGCGATACTTGGTTCGTCGGAAAGCTCTTGAGCAGAGGAGTCACTTCAGATATCTGCTCAAGCCAAATAACATTCACACACACTCAGAAAAACCAAACCGCACAAAACACAAATTCTTGCATACGCTCACACCACGCATGCAACGCACGAACACATGATGGGAGGCAGACAGACGTGAATGCATATGATTGCATCACACAACAAACTCCCCCTCTGGCTGCCAACCATCATCCCACATGTCATAGCTCAAGCATGCACCCTCAATGCACACTCATCCCAGCAAGCTTCATGCCCTTCCAATGCTCAGATTCAGCCAGGCGCTTGATGAGAATGTCAGCCGCCTGCTGATGGGTCTTCACAATCTCCAGCCGCACCTCCTTGTCCAGGAGCCTCCTCACCCAATGCCACTTAGGCCTGATGTGCTTCGTCAGCCCATGAAGGCAAGCGTTCTTAGCAAGCTTCACAGCCGACTCGTTGTCAAAGAAAATCACAGTTGGCTCCTTCTGGCACACTCCAATCTCCTCCAACAAACGCCTCAGCCACACCACCTCCTTTGCCCCATGATGCAGAGCCATGTACTCTGTCTCACATGAGGACTGCCCCACCTCGTTCTGCTTCTTGCTGCGCCAGCTCACTGCACCACCTCCAAACAGGCACACATAGCCTCCAATGCTGGTGCCATCCGCCTTCACAGAGTTGAAGCTAGCGTCGGTGTAGCAGGTCAGGAGCATCTCCCCCTTGCCCAAATCAGCTGCACCCCTCTGCAGCCTCTGTCGCACAGCACTGTACTCCAAGCCCACTGATGCCGTAGCACTCACATAGCGGACCAACCTCTTGGCCGCTTCCAGCTGCTCATGACTGGGGCGTGAAACCACACTTGCAAGCCTGGATGTAGCAAAGGCAATGTCAGGCCGCGTGTGGTTAGCCGCATAATTGAGTGCCCCCACCATGGAATGAAACAGCTTCCTGTCACTCTCACCCACCACCTCCTCATCAGCACAGGGCTCCACAGTGAACCCCGAAGGCAGTGGGGTGGCTGGCTTTCCTCCATCTTGCAGCCCATACTTCTCAGCCAGCCCCTCACAATACTTTCTCTGGTGCAACCTCAACACTCCCTTGTCAAGGTCCCTCTCCACATGCATGCCCAAATAGTACTTCACATCTCCCATCTTGGAGCACTTAAACTGCATCTCCAGCATCTCCTCCACACGCTCAATCATTGCAGACGACTTAGAGAAGAGCAGGATGTCGTCCACATACACCAGGAGCATGAGGAACTGCTCCTTCTCTTGCAGCAGGAACAAGCTGTGATCACACTCACTCTTCTTGAAACCCCCAGCCAGCAGTGTCTCCTCCAACTTGTGGTACCATGCGCGAGGAGCCTGCTTAAGGCCATAGATGGCCTTCTTGGGCCTGCACACCCTGCCGCTCCCATCATCCAACCCCTCAGGCTGCAGCATGTACAGCTCCTCTAGGATGATCCCATTGAGGAAAGCAGTTGTGATGTCCATCTGCTTGATCCTCCATCCACGGTTTGCAGCCATTCCCAACATCACCCTTAGTGTAGTCCCTTTCCCCACAGGAGCAAAGATCTCGTCAAAGTCCTTCCCCTTTGTCTGCTGAAACCCCTTTGCCACAAGCCTTGACTTGTAGCGGGTCAGCTCCCCATCAGGTCCGTACTTGTGCCTGAAGATCAGCTTGGAAGAAATGGCCTTCTTCCCAGGAGGCAGCTCACACAGCTCCCACGTTTCATTCTCCAGCAGAGAGTCATACTCCTCCTTCACACTCTGCTTCCACTTCTCAGCATCGTGCCCACTCAAGGCCTCAGCTAGCGTCTTGGGCTCAGGGACGGCTGCCCAATAGCAGTGTGCTATCTCTTCCTCATCACACTGCTCAGCCACACTCCCAGCCCGTACCACCTTTGGCTTGCCAAAGCTCGGATAGGTCAGCCGGTTAGGAGGGCGCACATCCCTCCTAGGACGGTCAGCCGGACGTGCGGCACCTTGTGGAGCATCTTGCTGCTGCAGCTGCTACTGCTGCTGCTGCTCCTCCACCTCAGGTTCTCCCCCATCCTCAGTCACCCCAGAAATCTCCTCCTCTGAGACAGTGACCTGCACTTGCCTCGAAGGCCGCTGCACCTCATCGGCCTCAATGATCAGCGGTGTAGTAGGAAGCTTCTGCTGCTGCTGCTTCCACTCCTTGTAGTACAAGGACTCAAGGAACTTCACATCCCTTGACACAGTCAGCTGCTGGCTGGTCAAGTCCCATATCAACCAGCCCTTATGATTCTTAGCAAGCCCCAAGTGCACTCCCCATCTCCCACTAGCCTCCATTTTTCCCCTCTTCTCCTTAGGCACATGAAACACCACCATGCAGCCGTAGGCTCTCAGCATGTTGACTGCTGGTGCACTCCCATACCACTTGGTGTAGGGGACCCACTGCTTGTCCCCCACAGTCGCCAACACCCTGTTCTTCACAAGGGCGACCTGCCGCAGTGCAGTCACCCAAAACGGATCCGGCAGCCCTGCACGCCCAAGGAGAGTGCGAGCACCTTCTTGCAGGGTCCGGTTGAACCGCTCAGCCACGCCGTTCTGCTGAGGGTTGTAGGGCACTGTGAGCTGATGCTGGATCCCCTTCTTCTTCAGCACCGACTCAAAATCAGCACCAATGAACTCTCCCCCGTTGTCGGTGCGGATCACCTTCACCTTGTGTCCGCTCTCCCTTTGAGCTCTCGGCATCCACTCCTTAAGAACAGCCGCTGCCACTTCCCCCTTAGTCTTGAGAGGGTACACCCACACGGCACGCGTGTGGTCATCCACAATGGTTAAGAAGTAGCGGCTGCCCGAGAGAGAAGGGGCCCTCGTAGGGCCCACCACAT